AAGTAACTGTTTACGAGTTGCTAGTTGTAAATTGCCTTTTGGAAAATAAAATTAGCCCAAAAGGTCAACTAGTAACACCGTTAAAGATTGTGTAAGTACATCATTCTTATACAAGAACAAGAAATGAAAAAAAAAGGTTTTCAACGTAAATAAGATCATTTGACAAAGTTGAATGGCTGATTTGATTTTTATCTAGACATTTCCCCAATGATTTCAAATTATTTATGTTATGAAAATTTTCCAAGTACTGTAAGACTTCCTCTTCGCAATTTACTAAAAATTTTATTTATGTATTTTCCTTTTGAGAAATGTAGAGCATCAACTTCATTATCTTGCATTTGATCAACTATATATTTTTTGAATCCTTGAGATAAATATTTAAGACATTCGGTATTATGAATATCAACGATACTGATGGGTAGAGGGCTTTTTGAGACTTCACTTTTTTTCATTACATTCATGATTGAATGCGCATGGTCCATGACATCAACATCATCATAGATTAATTTGTAACCAGGAAGAATGTGCACTTGAAATGATTTTAAAACTTCATCCGCTAAATCACGGTTAATATATTTTTTTTCACTAGCTTCCGGTAATACATTAGGAGGCATACGTCAATTTTGTTATTATCTGATTCTGAAATAGTCTCCAGTGAATCTTTTTGTGGTACTGTTAAATTATCAATGAGAGCTATAGAATCGTCATTTAGAGGGTTATCATATTGCTGATACGGTGGTGATTTGACATAAATACTTCTAATCTATGTATTTAAAATAGCAAAAAAATTGTTTTTTTTTGAAATTAAAATATAAATTATATTCTAACCTTATGAGGTGAGGATTTTCCTCATAAGATCGCTTTTGTCCACCTGCAGAATTGTTCTGACTGAAACTTCTATATAATTTAATCTTCGACTATTCAATAATTTATGCGCTTCATTCCCTGCTATCGAATGTTCTATTACAAACTCGGCCTGTAACCTAAGACAAAAAATAACAGAATTAGTAAGGCTTCTACAAAATTTGGTATTCAAGGTACCATATAATACATGCTTTGGATAATTTTATATCCATTTCCTTTTGACTTAGTTCTGTTTCCTTCCGCTTCAAAATAGTCTTTGCGTTTTCGAGGTCAATTTCAAACCAGAATGTTTTGATCTCTTTCGTCTGTATTTGATGCTTATAGGGAAATATGAGGAGTTATTAGAAGTTTGAAAAAGATCATTCAGAATATTCATTGTTTGGTTGAAGACAAGCTTGGTATGTTGGTATGAAGCTCACCGAAGACGTACTCCATAATTAACCTAAGGCGTACTCAGGTTGATTAGGTGGTTGCATCAATACGTAGTCCGACTTCTAAATCTTTCCCAACTCTTTGTCACTATAATAAATCCTACTTACTTTTACTGAAATATTTTTGACCGCGACAACCCATCGCTGATCAGTGTCAGATTTAATAATATTTTCCAGAAATTTTGTTATCGCAAAATGTTCTTTACAGCTATCATAAGTAAAGTCATCTTCGTCTGACGAAACTATAGGAGAGACAATAATGGGGATTTAAGATTGTTTGCCATCTGTCCAAAAATAATTGTCCAGACATTTTCAAAATCATTTTTTCGTGTTCTGAAATTATGATCATATAGGGCAATTAAGGCAAGCAATACTTTTCCTTCTTGAAATTGCAATGAGATTTATCCTAAGGAGGACAAGCTTCGTGTTGTCACTTTATGATGCTTCGTAATCGTTATGGGTTAAAGGATAGTTCGAGCAGTGAAGGATTGGCACCCATGACCAAGGAGGACAAGCTACGTGTTGTTTCATAGAGTAATAGATATTTTTCCTATGAATTCGTGTTTCCCTTTAATCTGCTTTGAATGAGTCCGTTCTGTTGGTAGACAGCTCTATTTTTTTTTTTTTATGGAAACAATTCTGATGCTTTGCATTATTTTTTTTAAGAATCATCGTGATAATTGTGTGGATATTGATGCTTTCTGGAATGCGGTTGAAGCCTGTCAAACCGAACAAGAAGAGCTGGAAATAACAAAGGCAATTTTTCAACGAAATATTTCATGGCACATTGGACCCATTTTATGAGTTAATATTTTTCCTTAATATTAGATTGGAGTAATTCAAAGTACTTTCAAGGGAGCCACAACTGCCGTGGAAAATTTGGTGAGAATATTATGCGTGTTGATTTGTTTCTCGCAATTACATATCACCATTAATGAAATAATTTTAGAGATTGTGTAGTGTGATACAAGTAGGAATATATGATGCTCGAATTTATTTATTATGTATTGTATTTATTCATCAATTATATAACAATTAATAATTATTATTTTTTGAAATAAACCTACATGCCACCCAAATTCAGAAAAGGAAATAAATATCTGGACAATAAGGTTCAAAGTTTTGTTTCATAAAATATTATTAACAAGTGATGTGATTGTGCATTGAATTTCTATTTTATTCATCGTGCAATCACAGAAATACGACATTTAAAAAAATTATCTATAGGTCAAAGTCATCCCGTAAAGTTTAGATTGTAACTTTTTTTTGTAATCAGTAATAACTTTACACAGTCGAAGAGAATCAAAATACAGTGCACTGATCAAAAGTCGAATGAAAATAATGAAAATGTTAAATATCTTATTATTATTATATATATATATATATAATTTTAATTTATAATTTTAAATTTTTTGGCCCTCGAATATATATTAAAATAAAATAAAAAAAAAATGTAGAAAAAAAAAGAGACTAAAGATAACAAAACAATAAATGTAATATTTATTGTAGTGTTATCAATTAGTCATAAATATTATTAATTGAGAGCCCATTTTTTGTTTTTTGTGTTTGTACTTTTGTGTTGTTATTGTTGTATACTTTTGTAAATAAAAAATAAAATAAGATGTACTTTATATGTACCTAAAGGAAAATAATAATATTGAAATAAAAATAATAAAAATAATGTATAAGATAATTATATTAAATTACGCGTCTATTTTATACTTACAGACAACGCAAGCAGAAAATTAAAAGTGAGAATAAATGATCGAAATGTAGTAATATTGAAATCGATCATTTTTTTTTTCGATTATTATATAATAAAATTTTTTTCGATTTTTAAAGAGAATAATTTTTTATAAAGTTTTTTTTTTTACGAGTTTTTTTGTTTCTAATATAATTCGGGTAGCAGCTTTCCTAAATGAAAATATAGTTATGTTATAAAGATGGTTTCGGCAGCAAGTAAGTGGGGGATATCGTAGGGACATGTAGAGACAGAATTAAATACCATAGATATTAGTACATGATAATATAGGACGATATGGGGATGATATTGGACGAAGAAGTGTGTTATGGGTTTGTGGATTTGTTCAAATCGGGAAGAGAAATTTTTTATAAATTTTTTTAGAACCTTTTTTTTTCACATATTCGGAATAGTAACCAAATCAATACACCCAACAAAACTCTAACCCTATTGCCTAAGTATGCCAAAGTTGTGATTAATAAAAGTAATAATAATATTAAAATAATAATATTAAATATTTGACTATTATTAATTCACACTTTATTTGCAATATATGTTATCGGCAAAGGGCAAGGAATTGATGTTGGATTTGTATTAAGTGAAAGGATTATAAATAGAAGAAGAAAGCCTTCCTTTTTTTTTTTGTTTTCTTTTCGTCATCTATCATTTATTATTCTTATGCTTCTTATTATATCTCGGTTGTTGATGATGATGCATCCATCACTCCCTCAGCATTAATTTCCACTTGAACTTCGCTTCTTCCAACTGCTTGTAATTTAACAATTCCTCGAACTTCTCCTATTTCTTTAGGTGAAAAACGTACAGGTAATAAAACAAATGCCCGTGGTTTGATTTGAACACTAGATAAAGGTATAGATATTGCTGAATTGGAATTTGAAGATGTACCTCCTACTTCACATTTACATTTTATTCTTATAAGTTGATTTGTTGGATTATTTATCTTTATTCCTACTGATCTTCTCCTACTTATTCTAGTTGCAGGTATTTGAATTTTGGTTTCGGAAACTTCAAAATCTATTGCTTTATTAGAACCACTACCGTGCCTCCTTGAATCTGATGATTTATTTTGATTAGGAGAATCAATTTTTCCTTCTCCTTGTATTCGAACACTTACTCCTCCTAACCCTCCTGAAGTTTCTGAACTTGATGAATCTTCTAGATTAAAGCTTTGAGAATAAGTTCCAACAAACGTAGGTCGAAAACTTATAACAACTTTTTCCGTAGTACCAGCTCGAAGTAATCCACTTGTTTTCATTATCAAAAAAACTTCTTCATTTATCTTTTGTGAAGAATTAGCTGAATCAGATCGACGAAGAAAAGGGTTTGTAGCTGTTGTAAGATGCCATGTAACTGGTTTATTTGTAGGGTTATGAATACGAAATACACTATGATTTTCTTCTCGAACTGTAGTATCCGGACAATTTACACTACCAGGTGTTCCAATATAAATGAAATTTTTTCGTTGAGGAAGATGTTTTACTTGTTTAGATTCATCAGGAGTCCGTGAACGACTAACAGACGATGGTGACATATTTCTTTTATTACGTTCATTTTGTGATCTATATATATCCGGTGTATTAGGTCGACTTGATGATGACGACGATGCAGTTGTATGTTTTCGTTTAGGAGAATTATAATGTTTATTAGAACTTTCAGGACTACTAGGTCTACTGGTAGGTCCACTTGAAGCACTTCTTCTAAGAGCAGGTGCACTTGCAGGTTTACTGGATGAACCTGTAGCTTTATTTATAGAGGATTTTCCTTTGAGATTACTATTGGATGGTGATCTTGGTAGTCTTTCTTGTTTAGGGGTCGATTTTCTAGTTCTGGCTTTAGCTGCTTTAATTAAATCGTCAACAGTTCTTGAAAAACTTCTACCACTTGATTTACCAATTCTTCGTATGAAATTTCCATCTTCAACTTCTTTGGTATTTTTTGAACGTAAATTTTCAATCTCTCCTTTGGTCTTCTTTTTTATTTGAACAATATCAACTATAACTTCTTTTCTTTCACCATTTTCACAAAGTACAATAATCCTAGTTCTACCCATTAATGGTTTATCAACTTCAGTTTTTTCTGATCCTTTATTATTAAGAATTCCCATGAATTTTCGAGAATCTCTAGTCTCATCACGTCGTGATCCAGCCAAAATATGTTTATTCATAACTGACACTTTTACAACTTCAACACTTTGGGGTTTGACAATTCCATAAGCTGGAGAAACATCAAATCTAAATGCTGGCCAAAGAATTTCAAATCGAAGAGGTGCTTCGGTAATATTAGAAATCGTAAATGTAGTTTCATATAATGGCTTAGCATTGTGTTTGGCTAATGATGAAATACTTGGGTTAGATCTTAATGTAAGAGAGGTAGTTGAAGCATTTGGACTCTCTCTATTATTATTAACTGATGGTCCTCCTACTACGGTCAAATGTTCAGGAGAAACCTTCATACCCTGAGGTTCCTCTGATTCTTCAATCATTTTAGGAGCTATTATTGTTGGTGATCTAGGTGATTTGTCATCTGCTCCTGAATCAGTTAAATCTACTTCTTCACTTGACCAAATGCCAATACCTTCATCTTCTTCATCTTCTTCATTTATAGTATCTAAAGGTTGTTCCGGCATTGAAACAGTAGGTGATTTTTTGGAATCTGACAAATCACTTACAGGTGATAATAATGGACTTGATTCTTTTAAAGGACTTGCTAATCCAAATCCTTTAGTTAACATACTTGGACTATGGCGTTGATGATATTTTCGTAATTGTCCTAAAGTCTTTTTAGCCCATATATTATTTCCTACTTTCCCGATATGATCTGCCGGATTATCAGCTGATTTAATTTGTTCAATTTCTTTTTTTTCTCGAGCGGGACTAAAAGGTCTTTTTGGCCAACGCCATGAATGTACCATTGATTTAACAGTAGTTGGAGTTAAAGGTGTTGTTATAGGTGTGGCAGGTACAGGTGAAATATCTGAATTATCTGAAGAAGGTAATTGAGGATTATGATCATTTGTACTATCAGTTAAATCATGGTCCTCTTCCTCATCATCTTCCGTTTCTGATAACATCGGTAATGGAGTTCTTACTGTTAACATTTGAGGAGTTGTTCGTCTTGATTGAATTGAGGGAAATAAACGTGAAGCAATTGATCTTCTCACGGTATCAGTTTTTTGTTCATCAACGGAAGATTTATCTTTTGTAGAAAATAAATCTAACCCTAATGTTCGCGTCTTGCGAACATATGAACTTTTATTTAATTCAGGTGGTTTTTGTTGAGATCTTAGTGATGATAGTGGTTGTACTGATAGTAATTTTTGTTGAGATTTTGGTAGTTCTTCTCCTTTCTCCTCTTTCTCCTCTTCCTCCTCTTCCTCCTCTTCCTCTAACTCCTCCATTTCACTAATTTCCCCTAAATTTGATGTAAAAGATAATCTTTTTTCATTATGGCCTTTTGTAGAATCTTGATCTGAGGTTTCTGAGGCTTCATCCTCTTCACCTTCTTCCTCTTCTTCCTCCTCCGTTATTGTTTCACCAGAAACACTATCATCACCAATGTTTTCATAAACGAAAAGTTTTTTTGTATTACTAAATGATCTTCGACCAGAGGACGTAATTGGACGATGCATTCTAAATGGATTCACATTCATATCTGATGATGGAAATATTTCCTTATTATTATTACTTTCATTGTTATTATTATTATTGTTATTGTTATTATTGTCATTATTGTTATTATTTTTAGTATTATTTTCTTCATATTCTTTAGGAGTCTTTTGAGCTAACTCATTAAATTCCTCCTGTTGTTTAATTCCATTATTATTATTATTATTACTATTAATATTATTATTATAATTATAATTATTATTATTGTTATTTATATTATTATTTATATTATTATTTGGTTCATCTTCCATATCCTCATTAATAGCTATTAAATTTGTCTTCGAGGGTGTAGGTAAATTTCCACCTGAATCTTCGGAAGACTTAAGTAAAAAAAAAAAAGGGAACATAATAAATATTATCAAGAAATATAATAAAATATATTAGATATATTTTAAGATTATATTAAGACCATATATAATAATTATCTATGATTATTTTTAATTTTAATAAATACCTGTTGTTCCGAACCTTCCGGACCTTCCATCAAATCAGATAAAGATTTAAAACGTGGGCTTACCATTTGCATCCGACGTGGCGAAGAAGGCCAACCTTCCATTTTTGTCATACGACTTGGCGTGTTACGTTCAGGTCGAGAGGTATCAACTGTTGGAGGGTCATGTAATCGCCTGTTTGAAGCCGACAAAAATATTGGCTATGAATATTGAATAGCCACAAAAAATTAAATTGTATGGAAAGAAAAATAATGATAACATTGTAATATGATATAGATAGATAGATAGATGTCAAAGGTGGTTTTAAAATTATTATTTATTTATTTATTTTTTCCACCTTAAAACATTATTATGTTTTAATCCTGATAACTCAAATCAAGATCAAGATAATGTAATTTGGTTTTTGAAACCCTCCCTTTTTTTTTATTTATTTAAGTGTAAAAATAATTTTAACCTCTAATCTATAAATATTATTCAAATAAAACAAAAAAAAAATAAAATAAAATAAATAAATAAATAATAAATGTTAAATCAAAATTTACCCTTTTATGAGTCCCCATTGAATTATTTTTCATAGGAAAATAAGCACCCGGACTTGGATATTTATCTTCTTTTATACCAAATCTTTTATTATTTTCTTTTCTTAAAGGAGTTACATTTGATATTGGCAGAGGAGAAGGATGTGATGAAACTGACACACCTGAATGATCACCATCTTTATCATCTCTTATTGTATTATACATATTTCCAATCTCATCAATCTCATCAATCTCACCAATATCATCAAGTAAAGATGTGTCTGAATGAATAGGATCCAAGGAAGTTGATGGAGGGGAAGAAGATAAAACGGAAGAAAAATGAGTAGATGAAGGGATAGATATAGTATTAGTAATATTTTTTTTTAAATTATTTAAATTTTCATTGTTTTCATTGTTTTCATTATATGCATTGTTTTCATATTCTGTGGTTAACATTTTATTAGAAAGTCCGTCTCTATTATGACTATATACAATATGACTTTGTATTGTTCCATAACTAATTTCCCGCTCACTCCTCTTTTCTTCTCCCAACACTGACGAAAGTTTTATTTCAGAAACCCTTGAAGACAAAGAACCATCCGACAATGAGTCTTTGCACAGAGTTGAAATTGTTGGAGGTCGACTTTCTTCTTCTTCCAAAATTGACTCTTGTATTGTAGTAGTTGTCGGTATCTTTGTTTCTTCGATCGAAGGTAATTTATGGTCAGAGGAAATTTTTGGAAAAGGTGAAGACGGTGATTGTTGTTGTTGTTGTTGTAGTAGTTTTTGTTTAGGAGACGACGAAATAACATTTAAATTCTCTATAATACTATTATCAGAATTATTACTACTACTATTATTATTATTGTCCCTATTGTCCTTATTGTCCTTATGAAATTTATTTGTATTGTCTTTAATATTTTTTATAGGGAAGGTGGAAGTTGGAGAGACTTTTGGTATGGGTGGTGTCGATATATTTTTATTTAAGGAGGGTGGTGGTGGTGATTTGCTGTCGTTAATTAATGTCAATAAAGGCTCCATCTATTATAATAAACAGATCTGGTTGTAGACAACAGTTCATTTAGTTGAAGAATTTATAATTTTAGTACCTCGTAGGGTTAAAGAGAAAAAAAAGGAGTGAACAATAACGGGTACCAGAATTTTAAGAAACTGGAGATCCTTTTTTTGTTAAATTTTTTTTTTAATAATTTTAGATTAAAAAGTTAAGAAATTGAAAGAAAGAAGGGAAAAAATATATATATAATAAAAAAAATTATGGGTAATGCTTTAAAAGAATGTAAGAAAAATCTCCCAATTAAACTCAAAAAATTCTACTTTGGAAATAAAAATGTAGCGTTAGGTACACGACATGACGTCATCTACAAGACTAAGTTAATTGTTGGACTAATAAAAAAAAATGCTAGCATATAAATTAAATATTAATAAGTTGTTAATATAAATGTAAATTAAAATAATAAATAATATAAATATTGAAGAATAGTAATAATATAAAGAATATAAAGAAATATAATGTAATATAAAGAAATATAAAGTAGTATAAAGAAATATAAAGTAAATAAGGAAATATAAAAATAAATCAAATAATAAATTATAAATTATAAATTATAAATTAAAAAAAAAAAAAAAAATCAAAAATCAAAAATCAAATAAATAAATTAAAATAGAATAAATAAAAAGAAGTGACGCCTAAACGTACCATACAATAAATAAAGTGCAATCATACATGAAAAAATTTGTGTTGGTAACGCATAAAATATTAATGACAATTTATATAAATAATGATCGTTTTAAGTTTTGGCGGGCAAAAAAATTTAATATATTATTTTTTTTTTTTTTGTACCAACCAAAACGTGTAAAAATTAGTTGTCTCGGAATTAAATATTAATTATTTAGATTATTTAGATTAATAAATATTCACACAGTTAAGAATTACAATTAGTAATAATATAATAATAACAAATAACAATAATATAATAACAAATAACAATAATATTAACATTAATAAAAAAAAATTTTGTTATTATATAAAAGTTTATTAGTCGCAGTAATAGTATATTTGATAATAAATAAATTAATAAATTAATAAATTAAATAAGCAGTAGATTTCTAATTTCAGGATTTTCTAAAAACTAGTAAAAAACAAGTTAAGCGAATTTCATCAACCCTACAAATGATATTTATTATATTTAAAGAAATATTTATTTGTTTGTTACTTGTGAATACTTATGATTTAATGCTGCCACGTTTTTATTATCATCAATTGGGTCGCGTGTCTTTTTGTGTCTTTTTTGATTAACAATGATCACCAGATCATTGACCTTTGCCACTATACCACACACACCGCACCACACACACATCAGCACTGTAAATTTAATAAATTTAATCCGATTTGTGAATACCATTTTTACCATTCATATTGTTCACCATACCGGTTTTATTCTTGTTATTTCCTGTTAAGAATTTTTGTTTTTTTTTAAAAAAAAAAAATAATAAAAAAACATTTTAAAATATTTATAAATGAAAAAAATAAATTACAAATGAAGAAAATGAATGAAAAAAAAAAGAAGACAATTTACTATAATATCCATATAAGAAGTATGCAGAAGAATTACCCTTAGAATTTTTTTTAAAAAACTGGTAATTAGAAAGATTATATAATATAAAAATCATTTATATAGATTTAAAAAAAAAAGTTATATGAGTTTCTATATTTATAAGTAAACGAAGATTATAGGAAATTTTTCATGCAGAGACAACAATTGTCACTAATGGTATTCAAAAAGGGAATTAATTTGGATCAATTAGAATCTAGAATGATTCAAATGGGATAGTTATTATCGAGAATTTGCAATACACTACACTTTAATGATGATAATGGTCTTTTCATTTTATTTATTATATTAAAATTCCGACTTTTGATTTATTATTAGTCAGGATATCAAATAGATGTGATTAATCAAAAAGATCCATTGTTTCATGTTTCATGGCGTGGTGCTCGAGGAATGAATATTATAATTGAAATATTCAATGATCTTTTCTTTTATACTTGTATATTAATAAATGAAAATTAAGTTATCCTAAAAAAAACTGTTGATTATGTATTAAAAATACTAATTCCAGAAACATCATTGTGCTTTTTTTTTTCTTAAAGGAGATTTTTGTACATGAATAACAACATTATATATATATATATATATATATAACATGATTGATATAATTTTTTTTTTTAAATAAAATATATTAATTACATAAGAATTATATATTAGAATAATCCCACGGTAAATAAAATTACAAAATATTTTTCTTTATATTTTTGGTTATGAAAAAAGTTAAGAATTGTTAATAAAAGATCGACAATATGAATTAAATTCAATTTTTTATTTTATACTCTGGATGGATTGAATTGATCAGCTATAGCTAACTTGCATAACTACATATTGCTTACATAATTTAGGTCCATCATCTGACAAGTCTTCTTCACGATTGATGAATTGATTTGAGGCATAGTTTTATAATATTTCCGGCTTGTAAAACATATATTCTTCTGATGTGGTTGATGAAACAGCTCTATTATTATCTGGTTTAAAAAAATAAATTGGAGTTTCAAGTAAATTGAGGATTTAATATTTTATATTTTTTATTAACCAAACGGGACCTTCGCTTCAGAATGTTTATTATTTGTAAATCGATTATGTACATGTGAGAAACTAATAAAATAAAATGGAGCTTGCTAAAACTAAATTAAGTCTAATTTACCGCACGGCCCATCGTTACCCAAATATTGGGAACTCAATTCATTGAAGATTTTATATATGTAATTTTTTTTTTTTTTTTAAAAAAAAAAAAATTCAAGTTGAAATCAGGTGGCACAGTACGTAATTAATTTAATATCTTCGGACGGATGATTCAAGTTTGATTGTGAATAATACTAAGAATTATTTACCTATTGTGTAAAATTGATTCATAGAATTAAAATAAATATTGTCTTCAAACGATAATAGGTCAATCTCAGGAAGATTATTCAAGCTTTATTGTAAAACCTGAAAAGGGAGCTTTCAAATGACTTTAGAAATGCCTTAGTAGAAAAATCGCTACATGCGATTTGAAGATAAAAATATATTTGTATACATTTAATTTTATTACTTATTTTATTGTATGGCAAGTTATTACTTCAATTAGATTACAGGTACTACTTCCTATTTTTTTTTGTTGTAAATTTAAAAAATTCAAAAAAAAAAATTCAAAATACTTATTTTTACTTATCCTTTTGTTTTCTTATCTATTTTAAGCAACCTAAACAATTACTTTAACTATTTAAAGGAAACTAGAATTATTGAAAAATTCTTTCATTGGTTGATCTCATTTACAAGTTGATCCAATCAAAATCAAAATCATAAATTTAGATTACTTTGTTCTTTGAAACACATAATAGTTATTACTAATTATTGTTTATTTATTTATCAGGTTTTATAGGTTTATTAAAATTTTTTGTTAATTTTGTAATAAATGATGAATATTCAAAAAAAATTAGATAAATTTTTGAAGGGGGGGTTTCATTCTTTACCTGATTTTGAATAGTATGATGATAATAATAATAATAATAATAATAATAATGTTTAATGTATTTTCTCGTTCACTTTTTTTTTTATAATTCATTGAATGATTAAAATAATTCATTAAAATAATTCTTCATTAAAATAATTCTTCATTAAAATAATTCTTCATTAAAATAATTCTTCATTAAAATAATTCAAATAAATTATAAAAAAAAAAAATTCAAAGAAAAAGATTTGATTTGATTTTTTTATTTAATTATTTAATTATTTAATTTATTTATTTCAATGGAATAAATCTTGAAGAATGTGTGGCACCAATACCTATAATAATACATAATGATACAATAATGATAAATTAAGAATATATAAATAATAAATTAAAAATAGATAAAAAATAAATTAAAAATAAATTAAAATAAATTAAAAATAAATTAAATAATAAATTAAAATAAATTATATAATAAATTAAAAGTAAATTAACAATAAATTATATAATAAATTAAAATAAATTCCAAGATAAATTTAAAAAGATACTTTACCGGGACGACCGTGCTTAACTGGTTTATATGAGATAGAAAATTCTGCAAGGTAATGGCCAATCATTTCGGGCTGTATATTATGGATATATAATTAGATATGATATTAAAAAATTTACATATTAATATTTATTTTCATATCAACTAATTGTTTAATTTTTCTTTTAATTTAAAAAACACATACCTTAACTTCAATTTGATTAAAAGTTTTACCATTATAAACACCAATAACTGAACCAATCATTTCGGGTACAATAATCATATCACGTAAATGAGTTTTAACCACGGCAGGTTTTTCGGATGGTGGTGCTTCCTTTTTAGCTTTACGTAATTTCTTAATTAGTCCCATCGGTTTACGTTTTAAACCACGTTGAAATCTTCTTCGAGCTCTAGCGTGAACAAGATCTGTTAACTATTTTTTATATGAAATATATATATGTGAAATATATATATATATATATATATATATATGTATATGAAAAAATATATGAAGAATCATATAAATGAAGATATGATAATGTTATTACATGTATGTGTGTAATGTTAAAAAAAAATCAATGAATAAAAATGAATTCAAAATAAATTCAAAGTACTTGTTCAGAAGTACAATCTAAAAGTGAATCTAGATCAACTCCTCGATATGAAAATTTTTTGAAAGTTCTTTTCTTTTTAAGTTCGGTTGCTGCTGCAGTATCGAAATCGTCAGCCTAAATTCAATTAAAGAAATTTAATTATTATTATTATTAATGTTACCCAAAAGTTTTTAAAATTTTCTTCCAAAAAAAAAAAAAAAAAAGAACCATTTGATATTATTAAATAATATCAATTCTTCCAAATAATTCAATAATCAATTATCATAGTAAAATCATTCATCATCAATGAATTAATTTCTTTAAAGTGCATTTTTCAAAATTGCCTACCATCTTTGCTTTTTTATATTTTTTTTATTAGAAGGAAAGGGAATGCGCTGTCGCTCAAAAGATCGAGGAATCGAAAAAAAAAGTTTTTTATGATCTTCATGTAACGTGATTTATTGATTCTTTTTTTTTTTGATTGGATTATATATTAAATATTGTTAATATTATTATTATAGTAAAAATAAAATAAATAATATATATTTTTTACAAAAGTTACAAATAATTTAATGAAATTTTAAAATAAAAACAATATGTATAAAAAATGGATAATAGATAATAGAGAGAGATATTATATAATTTATAATAATAAACTAGAATACAAAAAAAAAAAAATAGAAAAAATTGCGAAGTCAAAAAACTTCTTCACCTCGCCGTCAACAACAACAACAACAACAAAAAGAAACAAGAGAAACAACAAAGTATTAACAGAAACCGGTTCCGTTTTTCTCTTCCCTTTACTGTATAATATATTTCTATAATAACTACAATGATAATAATAATAATAACAATTCCCAACCCAAGTAAAAAAAAAATATAAAAAATGGATAAAATTATAAAAATTACAAACAATAAAAGTGTAAATAATAATAATAATGATGAATAGAAGTAGTTAGTAGTTCAAATTATAAAATGATCTACAAAGTATTTTGATACGTTTGATACAACAATAAAATAAAATAAAAAATATAATATATATTAATAATATATATATATATAATAATAATAATAAATAATTGAATATGATAAATTGAATACAAATATAATTGATATAAAATAAATTTCTAATAACAATAATAATAATAATTTATCACGATGCTCTTTGTTCCACTGGAATTGATGTCTCGTTAGTTAATGATGATGATGATGATGATGCATATATATTTGAATTATTACCTCCTCCTCCTCCTTCCCCTTCAACATTTCCTTCTTTTGTTGTCGATGGCGTTGATGACGGATTTGGATAAGGGTGAAAATTAGTATTATTATTATTATTATTTTTATTATTGTTGTTATTGTCGTTATTGTTGTTATTGTTGTTGTTATTGTTATTATTGTGGTTATTATTATTATTACTATTATTATTATTATTATTATTATTATTATTATTATTATTATTATTATTATTACTATTATTATTATTATTATTATTATTATTATAATGATGATGATGATTATAATTATTATTATGATTATTTGACATTACTTTAGTACCACCATCAGAAGAACTACCACCACTATTATTATTACTACTTTTGTGAATATCACTTGATGAATGAGATTTCTTTAAGTTCTCACAACGTTTTAATATATCTTTCGTAGTTAAATTTTCTGGATTACTAATTAAATCTTGATCACGTAATATCACAGCTACGTCATCCGGTACCTAATAAATTATTTTTAAGAATTATTTAAGAATTATTTGATATATTAACAAAGCCACTATGAACAAACACAATCAATGAACTTGAACTTTAAAAAGTTCCAAGAAATAATTGAAACAATTGATATTTACCATCCAGAATTCATCTTGATATTTAAGTAAATTATGAACGGCTTCAATGGCTAAAAATGAATCATCCTTCACCGGATCCTTTGATTTTGAATACAGTATATTTGGTGTAATTACTGTGGCAAGATTGTGTAAATCCATTTTACTACCTGTTTCTTCATCTACGTGAGAAAAGGATGCCACCCATTTGAAAAATATGAATAAAACTTCCATCGTATCTCGATTCACTTTGGGTAAAAGGCAACATGTAAGATGTAAAACTTTCTTTCGATCGGCCTCATTATCAAATTCTATTATAAATAAGCATAGATATATATATAAAAAAAAAATTAAAGAGGAGTATAAAATTTTCTTTTTATCGAAAATTCAAATCAAAGTTTTTATATTTTTTATTTTAATTTTTTTTTTTTTTTACTTTGAGATGTTATAAAGAGTTTGTGCAACTTAAAGGTAAGTAATGGATCTGGTAATTCTCGTAGAAATTTCTTCATCAATGCAGCAACTTGTACTGGATTGTCTTCGGATAGATTTATGGATGATGGATTTTTATCAATGGAATCACAAAGATCCTTTAAACGTCGGATGTTTCCATTTTTACGAAATATCCCTTCGACCGACATATCTAATAATTTAATTTAATTTAATTAAATTAAATTTAAATATCAAAAAAAAAAAGAAGTTAATTATAAATAAAATCTAATAAAAAATATAATAATAAAATAAATACCCATCGTTTTCATAGCAGATATACTATCATCCACGAAACTAGGTATTCTTATACGTCCAGGTCCGGCTCCTAGTGCTGAATCAATTCCATATCTTTCTACAAGTACTTCAAGTGATACTCCAAATGTACCTAAAAAAATTTTTAAATTAATTTTAATTTTTAATTTGAATAAATGATTTAATATACATAACAACAACAACAACAATCATCTTAATAATAATAATAATGAAAGATGATGATGATGATGGTAATAGCGCAATATATAAATTTCATATGGCCTTCCACAAAAGGAGAAATTTTAATAATGACCTCCTTCTCCCACCATAGCATCTAATAACAAAATTTTTGATAACAAAAATTGTGACCAAACCGCGATTTTTCATAACTGAAAGAATAAATAAATAATATAGATACTTGTCTACCTCTTTTTTTAACTGGTTTCTTCTCTGCTGGTTTAATTGATGTAACAAATTTTGACCATAAAGTGGTTTTTTTTGATCCAATTAAATCCAATAATTCTTCCAAATTAAAATAATCTTTCACCAAAACCTCCAAATTAAGGACTGCGACATGTTTCACAATAAAATATTCAAGTGCTGATAATTCTGCCAAATAACATTTTCCTCGTGACGTCCTTCGTCTTTTCATGGTTTTTTCTGTTGCTATATTTTCCGATGCTGCTACCATCTCGGCCTCCGCGATTGCCGATATATCCGCTAATGTTATTCCTCCACTTTCTTTATTAAATTTCAGTCGAGATTCGTTTACATTAAATTCGGATTTATCTTCAACTATTTTAACTCGACGTTGTGAAGGATCTCTAGCCAATTTATCTTTAATAGAATCATCCAAACTATTTATAACGGTTTGTTCTTGTTCTATTATTCTTGATCGTTTGGCAAACCTGGCTGAGGTGGATAACTTACGATCCATGTGAACTGACTTCATACGTTTGATATCACCTGTGTTAAGTGATTCAAATGCTTTATCACCACTTGAATAAGATTTTGATCGTGAATCCTTACGTGTAAGTCCAACTTCTTCTTTTTCTATTTTACGTCCGCGACCATCGTAATCTGATAAACTATTGTTTTCATCTTAAAAAAAAATATAAAAATAAAAGGAACCCAAAATAAGAAACAAAATAAAGTAAAAATGATAAAGAAAAATAATATATTTATATATATATCTATATCTATATCTATATCTGTCAAATATCACCTTTACGTCGGAGCAAATTATATAAACGTGATAACGCGACAAATAATAAAAATGTATACTGCTCCAATTGAGTAACATATTGAAATCCTGGGAGGGCCTGTTCATTTGTATCATTCGGACAAAATGCCATCTCCGTTATTTGATTAAAGGTGGCATCCCGATAGATGGTACGTAATTCACGAGAACAACCAGAACATCTTAAACAACCAATATGCCAACGATAATGTCCAAATTTATAACATTCTTCTTCAACCGTGATACGGCACGCGTGACATAGATCGGATGTAACTTCACTATCTATACCCTCCTCACGAATATTTTTCCTTCCTTTCTTTGTGAGTTCTCCTAGTTTATTTAAAAATTTTCCAATCGCTTCTGTATTATTGAAATCTCGTTCCTTTATATATATATATATATATATATATTTATATATTTTTTTCAGAAAAAATTAAATGATGATGATGAAATTAATATTCGTCCTTTTTTTTTTGAAAAGAAGAGAAAAGACAATAATGAATTACCAATTTCAGAGCACCAGTTAACGCTATCCTTATTAAAATTTTTAGATAGTGCGCCAAACCTGTCACTAATGATAATAATTCCTGTGTAATTCCTAATACTCTTACACCAGTTTCTTGAGTATGAGACAGCAAGGAAAAAAAATTAACTATTTTTTTGCAAAGCATTTTAGCTTCCCTATTATGTTGAAGGCCTAAATATAAATATAAGTCATAAATATAAATCATTTTAAAAAGAATCATGAAGTATTTTTTTTTAAATTTTTCTTTAAAAATATTTACCTTGGCCGCTCGCTTTAACTAATTGGATTTCTAAATCATCGATTGCAGAAAATAAAATTTCAACATGACTAATAAATTTTTCAGCCATTTTCACTCCTTCGAAATAAGCACCATTTGATACGTGAAGTAACATATCAGAGATACAAGCCGCTGACATTTCTTCGAAAGCAGAAAGTACAGTCCATATACTGTAAACTTTCTCTTCCATATCTTTTTGTTGTTGTTTAAGTTGTTCCGGTGGTATTTTTATATCACAAGCTAGCGGAGTTTCGTCTTAATATTACCGAATTTAATTATTTAAACAAAAAATTGTTTTTTTTTTGATAACAATTATAAAATAAAAATTTATAATAATTTTTACCATTTTCATCAACAGGTTGGTTGATTTTATCGTCCGTGTGTGTTGCAAGTTTTACATTCCAAAACTAAGCAACAAAAAAAAAATTAATGTGTACCATTCAAAATAAAATATGACCGTTGATATACTATTTAATCATACTGTAATTTGAAACGAAAAAAAAATTAAAAATTTACCTACCTTATGTATCATGTAACATTCCGGATGCCAATGTTCGTCAATACTATTTCGATTTATCTCCACAAATTGTTTTAAAATTGCAGTTTGACAACCGGTACATTTGACAGCGAATCGTGTAGAATAATGATAATGACAATATACTTGACAATCATGTTCATAATATGAATCCTGAGGTCCGAAAACAGTTGAACAAGCGGAACATGTAAAATGTTCAATATGATATTTTTTATCAAGAGCGGTGATATAAGATCCTCTTAAAGCTCCACCGCATTTTTCACAGATGAGATTAAGACGTCGAAAGTAATCACGTTCACATAGAGGGTGTTGTTTATTATCCGACCCTTCTATGGGAAAAAATTTAGCAGCTACGACGGTTCCACAATCCTGATAATTATTTATACAAAAATATTGTACATGAAAAATCAATAATTCGATTATTTCATATAAAACTGTAAAGCGATGACCAAAGTTACCTGGCATTTGAAACAGTCCAAATGATAAGTACCGCCTAAAGCCCTTACAAACTGACCCACAATTAGTAAACCACATTTAGCGCAGGTGGTAAAATTTGGTTGTTTTATAATTAAAGCCTCGTCCGAAGCAACTTCATTTAGATCGGCCATTTTTTTTCGAAATCGTTTTTTTTTACAAACGGAAAATTATTACAAAATGCTGAGTCGTAAGGATAGTTACAAATAAGAAATACTTCTAGTAGAGAAGTCTATTGATTTGAGTGAGATAAAATAAGCTTGGCACCATGAACGCAAGCGAAACGATCGTTTACGAGCGTTGTACAGGATTGGTAGAGGTAATATTTAAGAAAAAAAAAATAATAATGAACTTTTTGACTTGTCTTAGCCTTTGAACAGAAAATTTGGTTCTAAATTTGGCAAAGTACTCGGTAATACAACTCACGATTGTGAGATGATGTGTAACCAATATATTATTTGAATTATTTTTAGAAACAAAAAAAAAAAGATAGTACGAATAATCATAAAAAGAACTAATTTCCAAGAAATTTATTTATAGAGAAAAAAACGGATTTTAAAATTTTAAATTTTAAAATAGAATCATAAAAAAATTTAAAATGTTATCAAATTTCCAAAAAATTCAAATTACCTGGAACAAAAAGAAATCAAAAGGGAAAAAGGAAATATAAATTAACCACAGCCACTAAAAATCTCTTTTTTAAAAAAAAATCATTTACTCAAATTCTTTCATTTGTAAAACCACTTATAACCACTTATATTATTAAAGTTATATCGATAAAACTTATTTGTAATTTCGAAATTTCGATTTAATCTTCAAATTTCAAATTATTACTTAGAACAAAAAAAATCGAAAGGGAAAAAAGGAAATCACGACCACTAAAAAAATCAAAAACTCTTATAACCACATATAACCATATATAACCACTTGTAACATAATAAAAAAATATTATAAAGAAACAAAATAATATAAAGTTACATAGTAAAACTTATTACAAAGAAACAAATTTATAATTTCGATTTTAATATACTGTATTATTATGTGAACATGTATAAATTATTTAAACTGATATAAGTTTATATATTAAAAGTAGACTATTATATAATAACGCAGGTTATATTAAAATTTCTCGGTTTTATTAATTAATATTTTATAAAAGTAAGTTTTTTTCATATTTTTAAACACGTACATATATGTACGAGTATGCGGAGTAAAAAATAAAGCTTACACACGCTTACACATGCTTACACACGCTTACACAAATTAATTCATGAATTCCATCTCAATATTTAAAATTCTTGTTTTGACCTGTGAAACTCGAACAACAATATTATAATCAGTTTTTATGTTGGCACATATTTCAACGAAAAATAATCCTTTCATTAAAAGAGACGTAAAAAAAAAGATAAGAGATATAAGTATGGTTAAATTTAATTTTTTTGTGTAAAAGATTTTTAATAAAAAAAAAATCAAAGAATCAAAGATGACACAAAAAGAGAAACATCCATAGTTTATTAGATTTTATCTCCTAAAATAGAAAATATTTAATAAATAAAATAAAAAAGGAAATCCAGATAAATAGAAAATTCCATTATAATAATGCATTATAGTCATTATTATCATTATCATCTTCAATTGGTCCATTTATCTTCTTCTTAATCAATAATGATCTTCCTATACCGTTTTTTCTTAATCTTGTTTGAAATTTGGTCACATAATATTATACGTAACATTCATACTCGTTCACATAATATCTATCTACAACTAACTGCTAATTGCTAATAATAATTAAATTATTAAGTAAAATTAATATTGAAAATAAATACAATAATTAATAATATTTTGTCATGGGTCATCTTTGTCCATAAATAAATAACGGATTCCTATAAATAAAAAAATATGTATTTAAAATAAAAATAAATCATGATATAAGCATTGGGATAACCTAAACCCGGGAGTACTTCAAGTATTAGTATTGTCATGTGATGAATATTTCATACATATTTGAAAATGAGAATCCTTATTCTGTGCACCAAGGCAAACTCTTATCCTGTCACCTTCTGACCTCCGAATTTCATTGGTCCATAATATTTCAGGTAATCAAATTATTTCACGTGCAAGTTTCATGTGATAAATGGTAGGTGACAAATATGGTTTCCGCGTTAAAAAAATTCTGTCCCAGGATTTTAATAAAAATCGATATTCGAAGATTTTCCTATCACTCATGTAATTCTTGTTGTCACAACATAGCATAATAACAATAAATCAAATATTATAAACTTTCCTGCTTCACAAGTTTCTTCTATCATAAAAATTCTTGTTTCATTCTATTTTCCTTTAAATGTATCTTTTAATGAATCAATAACTGGTTCTTTAATAATATCTTGTACATTCATTATCTTCCATTCTGTCATTTCTTCTGGCTTAGTCAAGGTTGATCTTTTTCTAGTTCTTAAGAAATAAATGTGAACTATTTGCCATTCATCTTTTCTATAATAATGATTTGTTCTTTTATATTTTAAATCTTGTAATCTTGTTTTTATACATGTTTCTTTCAACAATTTTCTTTGAGCTGCTTGTTTAGCTGAAATATCTAAAGCTTCCACATGTCTTTCAGGACATTGTAAATAATTATAAAACTCTTTCTTGGAATTAATTCTTTTACTAATTCAAATATTTCTAGGATTTCTTTCAAATAAGATTATAGAAACATATTTTTTTATAACTATTTTATGAAGATTTCTCATGTTTAATTACTTCCTGAATTTTTATCTAGGTAAAATTTCAAAGGTATTTATATTTTTTTACTTCCTCTGTGTTACTTCTTCCTATTACTTTGTTAATTATCAGTTATTATTTTCTGTTCCTTCATAATTAATAACTGTATTAAATATGCTAAAATTTCTTCAATAGTTTGTTGCTCCTTAAACAATATTTCATCCTTTCTCTCCATTTCAAGAGTTTGATAACTATTAAATAAATTATTGAATTCATCAAGCTCCTCTGCTCTTTTCTTGCTTATTTCTTGTTCTGCAAGATATAAAGTTTTATACATATTTTTACTACTTTGTGACAGTATATATAATTTGTCCTTTCCTCTTTACAATTTTTACAATGGAAAATTAATTCATTTTATCACAAATTACTTTTTTCACTGTTTCATATTTTTCAATTTTCTTATTTAATTTTTTATTTTTTATTGCTACTTCCATTACTCTTTGTATCAAATTTACATTTTCATATAATTTGATATTAATTAATTTTTCTACCTCTTTCTTTTCTTCTTTCATCTATTCAATTTGTTTTACAAGAATTTCTTTTTTTTCTTTTATTGTTTGTATTTAGTTTCTTAATTCTCTATTTTCTCTTTTTTCCTTAGTTTCTATATCAATAATTATTTCATTTTCATTTTCTATTTTATTTTCTTGTTTGTTTTTTTCTATTTTCAAGATTTTCTTTAATTTTTCCTTATAACATTTTTTGATGTATTCTTTTGATAATGCTAGATTCTTTTGTCCCTCTGCTGTTTTAAATATTATTTTTAACATATTTTCTGAGGTTCAAAATTTTTCTTTTTTGATATACTCTTTGTATATTTGTTTATATCCCATTATATAAATTCTATGTTTCCTGCAATAATAGTAATTACAATTTTGATATTCTCAATTGTACATGTAATTTTGAGCTGGACATCTAGATCTTTCAAAATATCTTTCTATTTTCCTTTGTTCCATAGGACAGTTACACTTCCTCTTTTTATGTTTATGTTGTTTATAATATTTAGCCTTTCTATTGTAATATAAATATATGAGATATTTATTTCCTTCATTATCATGGTCAATTACTCCAAGTGAATAATTTATTTCATCATATACCATTCTTGTATCTGCATTAAAATAAGTTTTTCTTTTACTTTTTAATTTTTTATAGTTCATAAATTGATATCTTTCAGTACAATATTGTTCTCTCTTCCTTTGTTCTTTCTCTTGCTATAAAGTTTTTTTTCTGAATTATTTTTTTTGTATTGTATCAGTAGTATAATTGTTAACAGAATCATATTCAGGTGGTGTTTTGTTTCTTTTTCTTTTTCTTCCACTTTTATATTTTCTTCTTCTTTTGTTTGAATAAAGTATCTCTTCTGTATTAGATATATAAATTTTATTTCTGCATTGATAACATTGTTCATAATTCCATTTACTTATTATTTTGATTCTCAAGTTTGTTATCCTTACAGATTTTCTACAGAAACAATAATGTGTATTTACATTCTAATTAAGATCTTGATTGTCTCTTTATCTTGTAACAGTTTTAATAATTGAAAATCTATCACATCTACATACCATTTCTCTATTATTTCTATATCTAGGATTATTATATTCTTTTTCAAACTTATGGAGATTAGGATATACTTACATTTAAAGCAAGAGTCTTCTAGTTTAAATCTTTTTTAAATATTCATTTTGTTATAGTTTTTATAAAAATACTTTTTGTAATTGATTTAAAATGTTTCTGGAAATTAATTTTCAAAATTTCTTATAATTATTTTCAATTCTCCTTTGACTTGAAGATTTTATCTATCTTTATATAGCTTTCTGAATTTTTATCTCATGAAATTATTATTATTTATCTTTGTCAATTCTGTTTTATTTATTTCTTCTGATTTTTGTCTATCACCTCTAATTTTTGTTTATAACTTCTGATTTTTGTTTTTCTCTTTTTAATTTAGTTTATCTCTCCTTAATTTCTCCTTATTTTAGTTTATCTCTTCTGAATTTTGTTTATATTTATTTATATCTTATAATTTTTATTTCTCTTTATTTATATTTTGATAAGAGACTCTCACAATATTTTATCTTTATATAATTTTAATCTATCAGAATATATTAGTTCCTTTATTTGTTGTCCAAATTAATTATTTAAGATATAACTTCTTTTTACTGAGTCTCTCCTTAATTGTAAATAGTTTTTTCTATTTTGTGTTCAATTTGTCTAACCATTGTTTATCCTGTTTTAAGTTATACAAGAGTACTTTATCTCCTTCTTTAAATTCTACCCTTCTCTTTATCTTTAGATTATATCTTCCTTGTGATTTTTTTTGTGAAATCTTGATAAAATTTCTTGCCTTTTATAAGTCTTGTGACAGTGTTTCTTCTAATTTAAACATTCTCTGTATAATAGTATCTTTCAAATCTATCTTATTTATTTTTAATTGGTTTTCTTCATCTACTTCATTAGATAAAATTGATTTTCTTCTGTAGTTTAAATAGAATGGTATATATTTGATTATACTATATTTTGTAATTCTATAGGCAAATAATGCTAATGATATATTTTTGTCCTATTCAAATACATTAAATCTACTTATCTTCTTTAATATATCACAAAGTATTTTATTAAATCTTTTTGTTAATTCATTAGTTTGTAGGTGATATGGTAATGAAAATTTATGTTTTATTTTAAATTTATTATATAATTCTTTCACTAACTTATTTCTAAAATATGTTCTTTGATCTGTTAATAATGTCTTTAGAATTTTATGCTTACAAATTATATATGAATTCTGCTATATTTTTTGCATTTGTCTTATCTAATACTTTTGCTTCTGGCCATTTAGTTAAATATTTAGTTACTATAATTATACTTATTCTTATTTGTTGTTTCAAGTAAAGGTTCTACAATTTCTATTCTAATTCTTTCAAATAGCTGTTCAATTTCAATTGAATATAGTACTTTATTCCTTTCTGGTTTTTCAAATCTCTAACAAGTATCACATGTTTTAATATATTCTTTAATATCACTATACATTTGATTCCAATAATTTTTTTTTTAATTTTATTGTAAGTTGTATTAATTTTCATATGACTTAATATTGAATAGTCATATATATACTTGCACGCAAAATTATTTTGGAACCCGAAACCCAAAATATAAATATCCCGAAATTGACCCCAAATACTATTTCAAAATTTTGATATTTCAAAATTAAAATGGGAGTCGAAATTAAAATAAAAGTCGAAATTAAAATAAAAGTCGAAATTAAAAACAGGAGTCGAAATTAAAAATAAAAGTCGAAATTAAAATGGGGGTCGAAATTAAAAATAAAAGTCGAAATTAAAATAAAAGTCAAAATTAAAATTAAAATTAAAATTATTAGTAAAAATTTTTATTAAAAAATCTGTTTTTTTTAAAAAAAATAATATTAATACATACTACAAGTTTACAATCACGATTCCAAAGCAAGGGTAAGTACCTATACAATTTCGCGAGCCTAAAAGCATAATTCCGAGGAAAGGTAAGTTAAGAAGAGGTAGAAAGGTAAGTAAATATATTTATTAAAAAAATAATAATAATAAAAAGAAAGAAAAAACCTATCTATACCATTTTGCATTCGTCTGCACCATTTCGTGAGTCAAAGAGTACAATTTCGAGAAAAGGTAAGTTAAGAAGAGGTAGAAAGATAAGTTAAGAAGAGATAGAAAGGTAAGTTAAAAGGTAGAAAGGTAAGTGAATTTATTTTATTAAAAAAATAATAATAATAATAAAAGAAAAAACTTACTTACACTATTTCACGATCGCTTGGCCATTTCGCAAATTCAAGAAAACAATTTAAAGGAAAGGTAAGTTAAGAAAAGGTAGAAAGGTAAGTTAAGAAGAGATAGAAAGATAAGTTAAGAAGTAGAAAGGTAAGTAAATTTATTTTATTAAAAAAAATAATAATAATAAAGAAAGAAAAGCTTATTTACGTCATTTCGCGATTGCCTATTACTGGTCAAAAATTGATAAATAATATACATATCAGGTACCCGATATGTGTATTATTTATTAATTTTTGACCAGTGTATGTCATTTTGCAAATCCAAAAGCATGATTCAGAGGAAAGATAAGTTAAGAAGAGGTAGAAAGGTAAGTTAAGAAGAGATAAAAAGGTAAATTAAGAGGTAGAAAGATAAGTAAATTTATTTAAAAAAAATAATAATAATAAAGAAAGAAAAAGCCTACTTATGTCATTTCATGATCACCTGCATCATTTTACAAGTCCAAGAGCACAATTCAAAGAAAAGATAAGTTAAGAAGAGGTAGAAAAGATATGTAAATATATTTATTAAAAAAATAATAAAAAAAAGAAATAAAAAACCTATCTGCATCATTTTGTAAATTCAAGAGTACAATCCTAAAGAAAGGTAAGTTAAGAAGAGATAGAAAGGTAAGTTAAGAAGAGGTAAAAAGATAAATTAAGAGGTAAAAAGATAAGTGAATTATTTTATTAGAAAAAAAATAATAAAGAAAGAAAAAGCTCACTCACGCTGTTGACCGTGACCTGACCTTCAAGGGATACGATTAACAATTAGCTAAAGATACTATAGCTAAACAAAAATATAATAAATCACTAATTAATTTATATTAAAAAGTATAATGGTTGAAGGATTTAGATGTTGCGAATTTGTTTGAAAGAGGCAAGGCTATGAGATTTTTATAAAGGTTTGACTAAACTATTCACAAAGAATATAACTAAATTAATAATTCCTAATACTAAATAAAGAATTATAATACAAAAACAATATATCAAGATCACAAAGCAAGATATAACTAACAAGGGTTTCAGTATTCTACCTAGGAATAATATAGAATTTCACTAAGAAATTACAACGGTATAAATAATAATTTACACGATTATTATTTATAAGACAAATCACAAAATATTTTATTAACAAAAATTGGAGTTAACTACTGAACTCGAATAGAACTGAATTGAAATTGGAACTGAGAACTGAGCAAAGAGAAATTCAATCTTTTATATATATAATTGAAGTTATAATAGATTATGCTGTAGATTATACTAATACATATACTATTAATTATGCTGATATATATACTATTAACTACATTTTCTACTACGCTATCTATTACACTATCAATTATGCTATTGAATACACTATTGATTATGTTGTTTATTACACTGTTGATTACACTCAGATCTATAGTCGTAATACCTAATAGTTGTACTAATTTCTAAATAATTTATGCTAATAGTTTCTTATATAATATATACTAATAAAAATATAAAATTAAACTAATAAAGTATAGTTATAAATAAGTTAATACATGATAATAAAATAAAAATATAATAAATGAATAAGATAAAAATATAATAATAATAAGATTTGACAACTAGGGTTAACAATGCCATTTCGTAATCACCTGTACCATTTTGCGATCGTCTGCACAATCCCTAAGCTTTATTTTTTTAAAAAAAATCTATAGATCTATAATTTTGAAATTTTACAACTATTTTATCTCCCATTAAAATGTTAATTTCAATTGGGATTACACTAAATTTTATCTTCTATGATAATTTTAAAGGTTACACTATTATTTTATTTCATATTAAAATATTAATTTTGACTAGAGTTTTACTAAATTTTGTCTTCCATAATAATTTTGACTTCCATAAATATTTTGTCTTTTATAATAATTTCAGAGTTAATTTTAAATTTTGGAAATTTGATTTTGGAATCATTTTAAATTACTATTTTTTATTATTTATAAGATAAATTTTTTTTAGCTGACTCACATATTTTTTTTTGTTTGTCACTAATGTGATAACAGGTTTTTTTAAAAACAAGTGACATAATGTAAATTGGAAAAGATGGTAGTGTGAGGAAAAAAATACAATATTACAGTAACTTTATTTGTAATAAATAATTCTCTATATAATTATCATAAATATATTTTAATATAAATGTAACTATATAAAGAAAATCTCTATAATAGATACACTTCTATATAGTTCCAGTTTTAATATCCTGAAGGTATAACTATAGAGAGGTTAAACTGTATACTAAAATATTTTTATAAAATTCCTGATGATAACAGGATATAATTTTATATTAAGATATTTTGATAACAGATAAAAAATTTTTGTTTTTAGTTATAAGATAATATGTGGTTCATTCCTGTAATATTAACATTTGTGAAGATATTCATGAATATCTGTAAAAATTTTTTGTTATAAATTTTTTATAATTTTGATCAGAATTATAAAAATTGTGAAAATAATAAATTAATATAATTATAATATATAGTAATTATAAATAAAATCATTAATAGTATTATATAAAAATTTTTTATATTATAAATAAATATTAAAATGATATTAATATTATATATTATATTAAAAAGACTGACTTATATATACTTGTATGTAAAATTATTTTGACATTTTGAAATTACAATTTTGAAAAAAAAAGTTAAAATAGTTTTTTATAGAAAATGAAATTATTTTACTTACACTGGTTAAAAACTTAAAAATCCTATATATATTAGGTATCAAATAAGTGTAATATTTGTTTTTAATATTGAACATATATCAGGTATCCAATAGGTGTAAAAAATATTTTTTTTATACTTATCAGATATCCATTATATATAAAATATATTTTTTACACTTATTGGATATCCAATATATATCTAATATTGGAAACAAATATTATATTTATCTGATATCTAGTGTATGTAAGATTTTTAAATTTTTGATTAGTGCTGAAACTCAAAATTTTTTAACTATTTAAATAAATTTTTTGATTAAAGACATACTTAACTAGATATTTTTTTACTTCTATATATATATAATAGATTCTGTGTAAATCTCAAAAAAATAAAATACTTCAAAAATTAATTTTAAAAATATATATAGACCTATATAATTAAAATTGAGTAAATTATTATTATTTCATTTGTTCAAACTTTAACTATCAATAGTTCTCTCAATTTTGATAACATATATCTTTTCTTTTTATATAATAAATAATTCGATCTTATCTTTAAAATTACTTAATACTATTTTTGATATTTATTTATAAAATAAAAAGTTTTATATATAACAACTATCAATTAGGTGGTAGGTTGCGGACCTGTCTCATATGAGTTAGTTTGAGTTTCATCTTTTCAAATAAACATTAGAATAAGTTGTGTATTTTATATTATGTAATCCTATGTAATGTAAAAAACTTTTTCTTTTTCTAATTAATAAATTTGAGACAAGACTTTGCTAGAACAAAAAAAAAAAATATAACAACTATCAATAATTATTTCTGATCTTATATATAATTACATTAATAATATAATTGTGACATGTCTAAAATATATATTAGCTATATTTGTATACAAAATTATTTTGGAATCCTGAAATTGCAATTTTGAAAAAAAAGTCAAAATAGTTTTCATAAAAGATAAAATTATTTTACTTAAAACTTAAAATTTTTTAACTACTTAGATTATACTTATACATAAAATTATTTTGAAGTTTTAAAATTGCAATTTTGAAAAAAAAAGTTAAAATTGTTTTTTACAGAAGACAAAATTATTTTATTTAAAATTAAAATTTTTTGACTGTTCAAATAAATTCTTTGATTAAAGATATATTTAACTAGGTATTTTTTTTTATTTTCATATATAAAGGTCATCTAAAGTGGAGGCAAATTACGTTAAGAGACATATAATTTATCAAATGATAATTGGTCAAAAAATGATGTTACAATGCTGGCAAATTAACCTTTGGCCTCGCGCAAAAATTTTTTGTTATTTTTATTCTTTTCTTAATGTATTAGAGAGAAAAAAGAACAAAAACAAAACAAACCACTCTTTATTATCATGTCTGCTGTCTTTTCAGCTATTACACCTATTGTTCCTTCTGTATCTTCAATTGTTACAGCTTCTGCTCCTTCAGTTGTAACATCAATATCAAATCTCAAACCAGACGAAAAATGGAATCTTCTTTTTGATGTAAACTGTTCTTTGGAAATTTCAATGGAGGATTTTGACGATAATTGGTGGCCATTAGTTTCGAATATTTGAACACAATGGGATTTGTATAAATATGCAAATGATAATACTCGAAAAACTTTCACCTTCATTTTATGAAGTACTGGGAATCAAGTACTTGACAAAAAAAAAATGTCTTAAATGAAAAATGTAGAATAACCAAAATATAGCCATCTGACTTATGTCTTGTAAAAATTAAAGTTTTTTGGATAGTCTCTTCAAAGGTAGTTCAAGTAGAACAATATAATAACTCTTCTAACCACACACATTCTTTAATAGAAGTTAATAGAATAAAATAATCAAAAGTTGTCAGAAGTTTAGTTAAAAAAAAAGCTGTCAAAAATTATTTCCCTTCAGTAATCACAGCCACCGTCAAAGAATATGCAATGATAAAGTTAGACCTTGGTGAATGTGTGTGTGAGCTAAAATATAAAGAAGTAACAAACATTAAATATAAAGTTCGTGGACCTATAGAAGTTCACCTTATTGGAAATTCAAATTTAAAATTAGATATCTCAGAATCTGTTTCTTATTTAATAAAACAGGGATATCAAGTTGAAAATTATCGTGTCCCTCAATGTTCTACTAAAGGCATTGTGTTTGCACATTCGGAGCAATTAAAGAAACTTAAACATTATGGGCAGTTAACACTTATAGATTCAATACATAAAACCAACTGGTATAACTGACGTCTATTCACTCTTTATGTCCGTGACACTTATAGATGCTGGGATGTGTGTGTCCATTTTTTTGTAAGCAGTGAGAATGGAGATACAGTCACGGAAGCATTAATAATAATATAAAAATAAGTATTATCATTGGTCCCCCATAATATACTTTCAGATCATAATAATATTGAGGCTAAGGGTATTAAAAAAGCTTTTTTCGGTATTATTGCTGATGAGCAAGAATGTCAAATGCTTCTTTGCGTCGTTCATGTTATGAGAACATGGATGCAAAGAATTTGTGAAAAAAAACTCGGAATGTCATAATTGTAGCGATGCACAAAAGAACAAAAATTGGCTACGAAGGTCTTGTTCAGAATGCTATTAATAATTGTTTCATTCCTGTTGTACAAAATTATATTAAAAGGAACTATATAAAAAATATATAGCAATGGGATTTATGGTTTCATCAACATTCCCTTCTACTTTTACAAATCATATCTACAAATCTGTTAGAATTTTTTTATAGCGAATTAAAGAGAATAACATCCTTATTACATGGTTTAATTGGTACGTGATGATTTTTTTATTTATTTTATCCCATCTCATTTTGTATTCAATTTTTTTCTTTTATTATTTTAGATGTTACTCATAATATTGTCAATGTTAATTACAAAAAGAGATCTGAATTTGAAAGTACTACTTTTAACTTTTGTATCAAGAAAGTGTTTGCATATGGTGTTAATAATAGTATTGTCGCGTGCCCAGTGCGACAATGTTCTGAAGGATAGAGAATCTTCTCTAACAAAAACTAACAAAAGGTTAT